CCCCATAGAATCCCCCCCTGCCCCATAGAATCCCTGCCCCACAGCGCCCCCTACCGGCAGCGATGGCTCCCCACCAGGGCAGCCCCAGGTCGAGGTGCAGGAACTGCAGCAGGTTCTGCACGAAGCCCACGGGGCTCAGCGCCCCCAGCCCCAAATCCTCCAGGCGCGGCTCCTCCAGCCCCACACATCCGTGGGGCTGCCCCACAAGTGGGCCTGCGGGCTCCTGCTGCCCCATAAGTGGAGCCTGGCCTTCCGAAAGCCGCCTTTCCTGCCCCATAACCCAGCTCTCCTGCCCCACAAGTGGGGCCTGCTGCCCCATAAGTGAGGCCTCCTGCCCCATAAGTGAGGCCTCCTGCCCCATAAGTGGGGCCTCCTGCCCCATAAGCGTCTTCTCCTGCCCCACAACTGGGCTCTGCTGCTCCATGGGGGACGTCGGGGTCACGGTGGCCGCCTATGGGGTGACAACGTTTATGGGGTCGGGGGGGATCCGCGAGGGCTCTCCTGCCCCATAAGTGGACCCACAGCCCCACACGCGGCCCTATAACTGCCCCATAACCCCACACAGCCCCATAGCTGCCCCATATCATCCCACATCGCCCCATATCGGCCCCACACAACCCCATAGCTGCCCCATAGCTGCCCCATATCACCCCATATCGGCCCCATATCACCCCATATCACCCCACACCGCCCCATATCGGCTCCATATCACCCTCTATCGCCCCATGTCGCCCCATATCGGCCCACCTTCGTGCCCAGGCAGCGCCGTCCATTGTGGCCTCGGGCCCAAAGCGGGGCCCTGAGTTCCTGCAAGGGGAAAAGAGCCGACATGACGTCACGGGGGGGGAGCCGACATGACGTCACACCGCCCGCGTGACGTCACAGCCCGCCGAGCTCCGCACCTGAGCCCGCAAAGCGCGGAGCAGCGGCCGCAGCCGCGGGGTCACCGCCGCCATCATTACGGCCGGAAATGGCAGGCCGGAAAAGGCGGAGCTAAAGAAAAAAAACCGGAAGTGGCGTCGAGGCGGGCGGAAGCGCCCTCAGTGCCGCCGCCATTTTGAATGCGCTGAGGTAAGCGCGGCGGCGGTTCTCCGAATCGGGCCGATCCTCCCCGAATCCCGCCGACCCAAATCCTCCCCCCCTCCCCCCTCCCAAC